AAACAGACACACACTCTATTGTACAGACGTTACGGCAGGGGTCAATTTCCCGGCAAACACTCTTTTTTCTCTGTTTTTTCTCTCTCTTATCTCCCAGCAAAATTACGAGCAAATACTAAAAGTATACTCACAGAGAAAGCTCTTAGTTCTCCAGTATCAAGTTAGTTTAAAATATAGGTAACAGAGTGTTCCATCATCCTGCATAGCTGTAAATTGGAATTTTTGGGACATTTTTCAAGCTAAAAAGACGACATTTTCCGTTTTAAATGGTACAGTTATGGATTGAGAATGACCCTTCTTAAACTAAGGTTCAATTGAAATACAGTTGCAAATTTATCAAGTTTAAATTGTCGAAAATACTAAAAGAGTTTTTCAAAACTTATTCTTTCACAAAAAAAACTCAATTGAAGAAAACTCAATCTATTGACAAAAAACTAATGCTGTTTAACTGCTACACAAGGTACATTTCACACTTTTCTTATCACTTCATCCAATTGTTTTATTTCTAAAAATACACATGAAGAGAGATCAAAATTGTATTTTTAGCCAATGAGTGATTTCGCTGTAGTATGAGAAAGGGAGTTCGCCATGAGCCTCCAAAAATGACCTCTAGAGCTTCCTGATACGCAAAATGACTTGCCCGGGAAACCATCTTCGTGTCTCTTGCCACATATCCTAGCCTGTGCCATTTTGTCTCCGCACCTCGCATTTTGAGCTCCGCTTGCTGTTTTTGTTTTGTTTACCTTTATTGACTTGGAGGTAATTCTGCGTATCAAGAGGCTCCGGAGATCATTTCGCGGGGCTCACAGGCGGCCTTGCACCCCCTCAATAGCAGTATGCTCAATCTTAGAAATTAAATTAATAATCTGAATGGAAAAATAATATATCGCAAGATAGTCGATTGAATATGAATAAAATGGTCTGGGCCCTTGATTAAACACATTATGACGCATTACGAGTTTTGCCTTCTTTGAGGCATTGTTTGTACTCTTAAAGGGTCTGTATAATGCGTAATTTCTTAGAACTCAATTGAGCAAATATAATGAAAATAATTGTCTTTTAATCTTGAAAATTATTTTAATAGATCAAGTTGTAAAAGGTATCGTTGTGAATCAGCCAAGGCATGTCCCTCTTTAAATGGAGTTTTGCTTGAAACTACATTAACAATCCCTTTTCAAATATTGTCCTTTTATTGTATTTTAATTTATTTGTTATGTACTTTACACAGGGATACTCACGTCAGAGACGATTGTACAGAATTTATCCTGTCTGGATTTCCTTATATTTATGATTCCCCTGCAACTATAAACTTGTTCAATTTCAAGGTCGTCTTTACATTCTTATTGTTTGTGGGTAACCCTGTAACATAAATACACATTTACCTGATATTTACGTAAGTAAAAAAGTACACCATATTGCATAAATTTATTTGTGTACTGCATTGTGTACATGTGTATTCTTATCCAATCGACAGACTAAATTCTAACAAATATGATTTTGTATGAAAACTTTCTAACATAGCGAATTTTTAGAATTTAATAAAATCAGAAACAGGCAAGTCTAAAATAAATTTTTGTGAATCTAATCAAATGTGAATTTAATCAATTGTGAATCAAACAATTGTAAATTGAATCTATTATTAATCTAACCAATTAAGAATCTAATCAATTGTGAATCTAATCAATTGTGAATCTAATCAATTGTGAATCTAATCAATTGTGAATCTAATCAATTGTAAATCTTATGAATCATGAATCTAACCAATTGAGAATCTAATCAATTGAGAATCTGATCAATTATGAATCTAATCAATTGTGAATCTAATCAATTGTGAATCTAATCAATTGTGAATCTAATCAATTGTGAATCTAATCAATTGTGAATCAAACAATTGTAAATTGAATCTATTATTAATCTAACCAATTGTGAATCTAATCAATTGTGAATCTAATCAATTGTGAATCTAATCAATTGTGAATCTAATCAATTATGAATCTAATCAATTGTGAATCTAATCAATTGTGAATCTAATAAATTGAGAATCTAATCAATTGTGAATCTAATCAATTGTGAATCTAATCAATTGTGAATCTAATCAATTGTGAATCTAATCAATTTCTAATCTAATTAATTGTTAATCTAATCAATTGAGAATCTAATCAATTGTGAATCTAATCAATTTCTAATCTAATTAATTGTGAGTCTAATCAATAATGAATGAATCTAATCAGTTGTGTATCAAATCAATTGGCAATCTAATTAATTGTAAATTTAATCAAGTGTGAATCTAATTAATTGTAAATTAATCGTAAATAACTTAAATTTAATTAAGAAATTTCGCTAAGAAAATTCTAGTTTGCAATTGTAGCAACTGATAATTTTCTGAAAATGTGGAGCGCACTTTTTAGTTTTTATAAATAGTTATTAGTTACAAATTTATAATTCTTTACCAACATTTCAATAAAATAAGAAAAGTGAAGACGATTTTCTAGTTCCCTCCAAATATTATTCTACTTTTAAAAGAAACAGGGTTAGCCACAAAGAATGAGACATCAGAGATGACATTACAGTATTTCTTCAGTCTTTTTTTACTGTCATGGTTCCTTGTAAGTTTAAACTTATTTCTCTCTTTGTCAAATATTCTAGTAGATGTAATACAATTAAAAAACTGAATTTAATGCAGAAACCAAAATTTAGCCTTTAAAAAATGGGCGGCTTTAAATATTTTCCAGGTTGCCCAGTAGATCACCCAACAGTTTTCAATTATCCTATCATGTTTTTATTTACCAGATTTGGGCAATTGTATTTCATCATCGGTTTGTTACACTGGATTCAGTATTGATTAAGGCGCAGCTACATGATTTTGTCATCAATTTCCGCGAATATTTAAATTCAATTTATTCATGAATTGTTGGTATCGTAGGGTGTCCCAATCAACATGAGAATAAATGACGGCTTCTATATCGTCTTTGTTCCAAGCGGGATTATTTCGTAAACATAATTTTGTATTATCACAATCAAAACATTTAACACCGAAAACTACTAGTGTCGGTATTTCCAAAATGTAATCTACCATTTTTTTACATTAAAAATTGACTGAGATATTAGAAAATTTGTCCAGATTCCAGTTTATTAAAAATCTACAAAACTGATCAAATGTTTTAAAGATACTAAGAAGGTATGCCTCATTTTGGAAAGCCCATTATACGATATTAAATTCGTCTGTCAATTTCCATGTTTATTGGGACACCCTATATATAATGACGTTTTCATGAAGAATTTCGAATCTTATCGTTTATTTACATACAGTGTATATGCAACACAAGATGAGCCTAGTTTTGACGAACTAAGAATAAAAGATTTAACATAATTTTTAAATAATATGTTTGATAAAAATTACATCACCCAATACCCATGTATTGTACACATTATTATCCCTTAGACTTTTGACTCAGAAGCAACTATTTCGATATAATTGTTTTTGCTAATATTTGGAAATTGACAAATTTTTTTTGGCTTTGAATTTCAATAAAAACGATTTACAATCGCAATTAGTCATTTTTGCTTTTTGAAATTAATTTTTATCAATATTTTCAAAAAAAGATTTTTTAAATTAAAAATAAAAATATTAGTAATATAAGAAGTCAGATCAAGAATTATTAATATATCCAAGTTTTTTTTTCATTAAAAATCTAGTTTTTCAATTGTGGTTCATATTTCTGTAGCAGAAACAATTTAAGAAATTGTTTTAATTCAATATTTTTGCCTTTTTACTTTTTCTTTTTTAGGTAAAAAACTTGATGTTGAATTGATTAAAAAAGTGCCTTCGGAATAAAAAAAATTCTAACCAGAACAATTTAAAATTTTGTTTTTGAATTTTAACTTTTTTTTTTAGCCGATATTGCCCCCGGGGTTTCCTAAAAAAATGTCAACCCATTTGGTCTAGCCGTTTGGCCAGCTATAGCTAGCATATATACAAAGATACAAAGAGGTTTATTTTATAGAAGATGGTCACGTGTGATGATTTAAAACAGTTTATATATTATTATTATTATATTATTATCTTATCTATGATTTCTTCATAGTATTTCATATAATTTTCTTATCAATAATATTTTGTCATGTTTATAGTTTCATTTAAATGATTGAGTGTGACAGTAACCACATTAAATTCAAAACTTATTTCTTTCTTTTTAAAGTTGTTTTTAAAAAATTCTTAATTTTTTTTTAATATTACTTAATTATTGTAACATTACTAAACCTTTCTTCTTCTGTAATACGTAATTTAATTGTTAAGGTGTGACGCNCTCATAGAACATTTCTTTACTGCCCCCCCCCTTTCGTAATTCTATAATGACCGTCGGAGACTGTTTGCGTATTAGTATTACTTAGAACTTAGAAACAGTTTAATTATGAAGTCAGAACTGTTGTTTTGTGAATCTTGTAATCAAGGATTGATTTACATACATTGGATCAATAATAAACCAATAATAAACATATTCAACCAAAACCGCAAACATCCTTGCAGCCTAAAACATGGTTTTTGTCAACAAAGTAAATTGCGAAACCGGCCTTATACTGGTTAATTTAATTAATCTTTGATATCCCAATGATAATCATTATACCCTACATGGAAAAATAAAATGTAGGGATCAAGCATTGATCCTTAAATTTAAGAGTGCCCACATTGGATTTCAAAATCAAGCATTTAAGATTAATTGATATTTATGAAATAATTCCAACTACAGGATCCTGAACGCAGGCATTTAACTTATATTTATGATAAAGAACGTAATGCTTCAGCAAAAAAAACTGTTATTACTGTATTTTTCCACATTTGTTTGAAGGCAAAACAGTCATGTTTTCCCCTATTATTCATACATAAATATTTAGATAATCGAAAAGTTAAAAGATGAATAATTAAATTGGCTTTTCCAGCATCTGTTTGTAGAATAAAGTTGGCTATGACATTAAAAAAAATAATTTAAAGCTTTATTTTCAGAAAATTTGTCAGAAAAATGCCGATGCCGAAGATTCCGACCCTGTCGCGGTTTTGTTGTTTTGATGTTAGCAACGGGACAAAGTAAGGTTTTTAATCTCACATTCAGACACAGTGAGACCTATCAAACTGTGGAATAAGAAGGACGGTTTTTAAACACAAGTTTTAATTTTATTTACTTTAATGAACATTAAACACAGCAGCTGTGCAGTGTGCGTGAACCCATTTCGCTTCAAAAGTTATCTTTCAAGTTTCATTTATTTAAGTTTACATGAAGTAGAACTTGCTTAAAGTAAAAGTAAAACTTTAGCTACGCTTGGTTTGATCAACAACTACTTTATTAACTTGACTAAAAAACTATATAAATTTACTTTGGAAAATCATATATCTTAAATCAGGTGACGTGGCAGGAAATCCTAGAGCAGCTTGCCGCGTTCTAATATCCGGCTTCAGGTTGAATCGTCTTCCGCCACAAAACATAGAATACACAAAAGTTTGATTAAAAGTCGTCTTCCTACTCCACTGTTTCCTGGATCTCACATTATATGTTCTTCTAAATATTCCTTGTCCATTTTTCGAATAAACGAGTTTATCTGTAGGGGCTGTACGACGCAATTCAAATTTTCAAATCAAAGTAATATTGATGGCGATATTCTTATATTCTATCTAAAACTTTATAATTATAATTTGAGGTTTTAAAATTTAATAAATTCCTTTAATTCATAAAATGCAAAATGGTCGTCTTTGATATAGTGTGATTCACAATGGTCTCCTTGAAAGGGTTGTCTGCATTAAAATTATGAAGCTATAATCCATTATTATTTTCAACTGCGGTTTTCAACAAAAAATAGTTGCGAATATATACATATATATTAGGAGATAAAAAAGAAAATGATCAGAATTTACCACTTTACCAGATAGAAAAGGACAATATATAGGCTCAATTGTTGCTCAATGCAAGGGTATTGTTGTGAATCAGGCATGCCATTTTTTGAAATTACGTCTGCTCGGTCCCTTGAAATCTTCGAATATTTAGATACTGCTCAGCTGCTCTGACAATTCTATGGATTTTGTATCTAATTGCTGTAATTGTAGCGGCTGTAGGATCTCTATCTCTAGGTAGGGATATATACATCACTGCGTGAAGTTGAAGAAAAACGCAAAAAAGGGGGGTATCTAGTATCTAGTATCTAGTATCTAGTATCTAGTTTTAATGCCTTAGAAAACATTGTGACCTACCTACCATCTGACAATTCCATCGGAAATATATACCCCTTAGTAAAATCTTGAAAAGCCCATCGGTATCATTGAAACCGATTTGGATATGTAACTTTAAATAAATTTATAGAATAATTGAAATATAAAATTTCAGTATTTTTAAATTTCATCTCTGTAAACTGATTCGAGCTCAGGTTTTACAATGTCTCTTTACTCTCAGTAAATTATAACCAAATGAAAATTTAAATTCAATGAAAATTGTTTTACACCAAATTCAATATTATTATCATCATTTTATCCCTTTGACATTTTATTATTATTATTGTTAACATTATTATTTCCATTGTCACTATTTTAAATTCATAATTTTTATAATATTATATTTTTTATTATCATTATCATCATTATCATCATTATCATCATTATCATCATTATCATCATTATCATCATTATCATCATTATCATCATTTTTATTTTAGGATCATTGATATGGGGGCTGATATGGTGTGGTTTCTCTATAGTAGTCTACGGTTTAGCTACATACGCCATTCATCTGGTAACATTTAACAATATGGTTTCATTTTCGGCTTAGAATTAAAGGGACTGTACAGACGTTGAAATGAGAATTTATAATATATTTATGTTATGATTTCTACAAGCTGACCCTATATTATTGATATTGATTGCTCTTTAAAACATAGGTTATTTTTAATTGTTAAAATTTATTTAAGTAAAAAGTGAATGACTAATTTCCTTCTACTGCTTCAATTGACGAACTTTGCAGATTTAAACATAGAACTGTTGTGAAAAGACCATACCAATCTATTAATGAAGGGTCATTTAAAATTAGGTTTGCAGCCCCTTTCAGAAAACAACTTTCTTAAAGGGACCGTTCACTTATTTGGGTAATTGCATGGTAAACTAATTAGCCAATTAGCTATTCACTGGTATTAGTCTTGCATTTCAAAGATATCTATGACCGGAGAAAAGCCGAGTTATCGTATATAATTCCAGCGGAAAGGTATGATACCTTTGTATAGACACTATTTTAACGCTTTTTCAGTAACAACAGCCCAAATGACCTCATGTGTCAGCCATTATAAACCAAAATATAAAAACGTTTGATTTTAGAATTAGCAAGAAAATAACGTTTTTCGTGTTCAAACATCATTTAACAAATTAACACTTTTATACAAAGACGACTTTCTCTCTCAGACAAACTGGTTCCTTGATTCCAACTCTTCAATAAATCACGAGGATTCCTGGGGAAGTATAGGGGAAAAGTATAAAACCGTCAAATGTTTTAAATAACTTATATTTTGAAAATAGGCAAGTTAAAATAATCTAAACTTAAATCTAAATCTAAAATTAACTATTAGAAACTACAATTTAATTTAATATTTGAATATTTTTAAAATTAAATTCAGAAAAAAGCAACCAATAGTGTAAATGCAAAGGTATCATACCTTTGCACTGGAATTCTGAATGATAAATCGGCTTCTTTTTCTCGGGCCACAGTGGCTTTGAAAAGTATAACAAATACCAATAGCTAATAGGCTATTTAGTTTACCCTCAAATTACCCAAATAAGTAAACGGTCCCTTTAAACAAATTTATTTTGTATCTTGTTTAATATTAGTAAATGATTATATATTGTATCTTGTTTAATATTTTTAAATGATTATATTTTGTATCTTGTTTAATATTTTTAAATGATTATATTTTGTATCTTGTTTTATATTTGTAAATGATTATATTTTGTATCTTGTTTAATATTTGTAAATGATTATATGTTGTATCTTGTTTTATATTTGTAAATGGTTATATTTTGTATCTTGTTTAATATTTTTAAATGGTTATATTTTGTATCTTGTTTTATATTTGTAAATGATAATATTTTGTATCTTGTTTAATATTTGTAAATGATTATATGTTGTATCTTGTTTAATATTTGTAAATGATTATATTTTGTATCTTGTTTAATATTTGTAAATGGTTATAATGGTTATCAGACGACAATATGCATTTTATGATTTCTTACTATGATAATATTATATCATTTAAAAAGTGACCGGAAATCAAAACGGATTAATGTAATTCCTAATAGATATGTCGTGGTGGTAATACCCTGCATGAAGAGGAACATGCATATTTGACGGATCAAACATTCATTTAAAAGTGTCCACATTGGATGTCGAGATTCAAGCGTTCAAGAGTATACCGACCTCAGAACATATTTAGAAATATATTTATTACGAAATCCTTGAGAAGTTTAGTAGAAACAAAGAAGACGAATGATTATTCCTGTGTTTAGAGTAAGAGCAGGAACCTGTTGATCCCTGCCCTCTGTGTTTCTCTCTTCAACGTGTGTGTCGGCATCATCAACGGAATCATCAATTTCGTTGTTCTAAATATTTTCGGGTAAATTTTCATCCTTTTTTCATTTTTTTTTAAAAATTGTCAAAGATACCAAAAAGATCGATTAATATCAACAAAATGTTTCCAAAAGTTGTTATTTTTATCATTTCTGATAATTTATCAAACCGATTATTTTGATATTAATTTTATTTTTGCAGTTGTTAAGACATGAATTTTTATTAATCTAAAAAGGTCAACATTTTGAAAAATCTCAAATCCATAAAAAGAAATTCAAACTTAACAATAATTCAAATAACTTATATAAGTGAAAGTACTGCAAAAGCTATAAAGAAAAAAAATTTGTTTCGTTTAAGAATTAAAATTAAAATGTTAAAATGCCGTTTAACACATTTTCTTCAAAAAAAATTATTGTGAAAAAAGTTGAAACTATTAATATAATATAATATATAATATTAATTATATATATAATATATATTATATATATATTATATATATATTATATATTATATATATTACATATTATATATTATATATATATTATATATTGATATTATAAATAACTTATGATAAACTGCTTTAAGCCAATAAGAAATCGCGAAAATATTTTTTTTCTGTTTTTCATGAATTAAAAACATAATCGCCTAATATCATAAGTTTATTAGGTTTATGCGTTGTGCTTCGGAGTGAAATAAGTTTGATTAAGACAAATTAAATAATCGTTATCAAAGTACTTTTTCAATGGACTAAACAAACATTCCTTTTTTAGATGTTTTAGGGAAAATATAGACATTAATTATAAAAATCAATATTTATAGATACGTCTTTTTTGTAAATCTTTGAAAAAAGATGTTTTTTTTTTCATGAAATTTCAAATGAAGTAATGATGTCATTGAAGAGTCTAAAAGTTCAATGGACTAAACAAACTCCAAAACCTCATGACTCGTAAAGTATCTTAAAAATGTAAATTTAGAGGATAAATATTGATTTTTAGGTTTATCAAAATCTTTTTTAGTGCAATTGTACTGTTCTGTATCGCTGCAATCACACTGTACTATTTCCTGGGCCTGTACACAGTGTACAACAATATGTCAGGGATAAACATGTACATTTTAATGGAATCTTTGGGGGATTTCTTTCTGATAAGACGACATTATCTTCATGCTTCACATTCACTGAACAGTCAGAAATAAATATGTAGAAATGTAAAACAAAATTGTGTTGCAACATATCATTTAGAGGATGTTAAGAAATTGCTTTAACTTTATATATTCCTTTATTTCTTTTTTTATTGATTAAGTGAACATGTTTACTTTGATTCTAGCACCCCCCGCAGGAGAACCTAATATTAAACTTCCAGCATAGAGTCTTCAGGTAGGGGGTAGAGGGGTAGAGGGGTAGGAGCAGGGAGGTATTTAATACATTTATTTTTGGTAGATTAGATAGATATATTACAATTTATCTCTCATTTCATTTAATACATTTACGAAATTATCTCATAATCATAATTGGTAAACAATATTTTTTGCTAAGTGAATTTAGCCTTATTGTCGTTTTGTAGTTAAGCATTTTTATACACTTAAACCCTAAATGAGCCATACATCGAAAGAATTTATCAAATGTCGTCTTGACAATTTTTCAAAGGGTTTTATACCATCTTACGTAAATCGCAGTATTTGCGAAAATAAATAAATAACCATGAATATGAGGGAACAGTTAAAAAAAACTAAATATCTGCAACATTCCATTATCAGAAAGCGAAGAATACGACATTTGATAAATTCTTTCGATGTATGGCTTATTTAGGGTTTAACTGTAGACACACCGAGTGCAGAGGGTTTAATGTTTTTTTTCAATAATCTTTTTTTTCAGATCCAGTGCCAAAAAAGGAAAGATAAACGGATAATCGTAAAAGAAAGGGCTTTATTGTATAATTGTAAATGTAATTTGATAATAAATGTTAACATGATACAACTAAAATATTAATAACATGATACAACTAAAATATTAATAACATGATACAATTCAAATGTTAATTGCTCAATGAGGACAATGTAGCTTCAGGATAATTTCAAATGTCTCAATGTCTCCATCTAAATATTGGCATGTATGATTCACAATAGTTCCATTTAAATTTCTGTTGGACTAAGGATAAATTTGATATTCTTATTTTTCTACCTAAAAATTGTTGAATTTTAACTGAGAATCTCTGCGAGTCCACATGATCCAGAGACTGCTATAAAAAGTTACTTCAAATAAAAAGACTTCGTCAACTATAAAGTGACAACTTTTATATCTTTGATTTACCTTATCACTTAACATTTTATTTTTTTTAGTCGTGGACAGTTTAGAACTTTAAAGTAAGTAGATTTTAGGAAAAACTTTTTTGCCTTTACCCAAAGATAATATATATATAGATACGCTGGCAGGTAGAAATTTGAGGTCTTGAGAAAAAGTGCAATCAGCACCATCTCTGTCGTACGCATGGCATTTTTCCTCTGGATTGTTGCTAATTTATCACTTTGTTTATGCGTGATAACACTAAATGCATACTATAGTATCAACAATGTATACTGCATATTGTACTTAATGAAACAAATTAACCAATGCAAATAAAACTGAGGTAGGAATTTGACTAGACAAAGTTTAAATGTGCAGTGCAAGTCGTACTGAATGGCATATGTGAATTAACATCGAATTCATGCATAAAAAACAGTAATTTTAATAAATCTTTAAACCATTAACCCCAAGATCTCAATTGCATATTGTGGTACCAATTAAAAAATCTAATTTTATTTAAATATCTCATAAAAACCGTTTGATTAAATAGATATCACTTATTTAACAAATATAAAATAATTTCCAAAGGTTTGTCAATATTTCTGCTTGTCTACAATATCTTTACTAAGTACAACTGATCATAACATAAACAAAACGCGTACTGTATGTTTGTGTTACCTTGAAATTCAATTTTATTGGTCAAACAGGTCCAGATAGCAACACTTGAACTATACAGGATGCAATACGCGTACTGTATGTTTATATAACACAAATGCGTATTTCCTACAGATGGCAGCAGGGGGAGAAAGGAATATAGAAAGTAATCAATTTGCTATAGATGTGTCTCTCCTTGCACTTTATCTCAGAGGGACAAAAATTAGTTGTCTGCTACAAGCAATTTAGGAAGGAGGTTTCTACCTGCCAGCGTATCTATATCTATATATTATCTTTGCCTTTACCCACTTTAAAATTCAAAGAAATAAATGCGTATTTATCATATATATCATTTTTAATGTTTTAACATTGCTATTTATGTCTAACATTGTGTTGAAATGGTTAAAACTTTAGGTTGAGTCCGCCCCATGCAGCTCCCCATTCACTGCATCGGCCCCAAAGAACCCTTAGGTACCATAAAGTCCAATGATATCATTTTTAGAAGACGACATTTTTAAGAATCTCTATAAAAAACCATTTATAATATTTAATTTTGGGGTGCTTTATTCAGTTTGGTCAATTTTGTGTATGAGAATTCTTAAATCTTTATTTTGGGGTCACATTTGTTTATAACAAGGGCATGTTTTAAATATGTAAAGGGCATTTTTTTCAAACTAAGGGTTATTTATTTTTTCTGGGGAAAACTTCTTCATTTTTTGAGCATTATCTTAAGAAACAGAAGGGAATTTTTTTTTAGATAGAGCTGTAAATTTGAAAGTTGGTTGTTCTTATGAAATATTTAGGGATAAAAAAATTTAATTTAGTCCACAACATTTTTTCAATATGGGAAAATTATTTTTCCTCTTATAGTCACTTCACCATCTTTAACATTGAGCAGCATGTGTAGGGGGGGGAGGGACTTCAGTGCTATAAATGAAGCATTACTACGGAGTACGCGGGGAGCTTCATTCTTAGTGGGAGTAGTTATGAATGAATCAGCAGTCCTATAAACAGAGCATCACTGTCCTGGAAGGAACAGCATTTCTAGATTGAGATCTCAACCAACTGAAAAAATAAATTTTTTAGGCTCTAAATTTTTAGTCAAAAATTACACATACAGCGTGAATCAAAAATGGGATTATCGATGTTTTGTAAAAATTATTCTAAATTTTTGTTTGTTTTGTTTATTAGGCATAAAATAAATGACAAATTCAAACATATTTTCAAATTCAAGTTTATTGCCCTGCCCCCCCCTCCCTCTTTTAATTATTCTAATTTCAATCAAACTAATAAATACATTAAAAAATGTTAATGTAAATTTTACCTATTTTGTGTGCATAATTCTCGTTAATGAAGTTCAGGGTTTCCCACTCCACTTTTTAAATGTATATTTAACTTACTGGTATCGATACATGATTAGTATCCCTTATGATAAAGAGTACAGTGTCTTGTTTCTAAATAAAAATTAACTGTTTCGATTGAATTCAAGAATATTTGATCTATCTGTTACACTGAATTGGCTTTAAAATACTTTCTAGCTTAGTTTGTGATCATTTAATCTATAACTGTTCTCTAATTGGACACATATACGACTGCCAACTATTTTCTAGACTCTTGGTTGGAACCAAGGTTGTAATGCAAGGAAAGTTAATTGCAGTCGCACATACTCTGCGTACATATTGAAACCAATTCTTTCTGGGCGGAATTTGTAAACAAGAATAGATGCATTAGTGTTCGTTCAGTATCCGAGGAGGTTAACAGCATTCAATTTGGATAATTTCGATAATTCACATAATAGTTTCCTATGACCAGAATATTTCATTAATTTTTTACGTGAAAGATGAATCCCATGTCAGACTGTGTTTACAGATTGTGTTTACATTGTCTTTACATTACCGCCGAGAGACAGTACACTGCAGTACAAAAGATGCGTACACCTCTGAAATAACTTTCCTTGCATTATAACCTTGGTTGGAACTATAGTCAATATGGCCAAAAATCTTCTTATGATAGTCAAACCAACCCATCTTTTTAAACTAAAATAGAAATTTCACCATGGTAAAACAAATCTCTTAAGTTTTGGATTCTTCACGTTTATCTTTGATTATTAAGAATTGGTTTAAAAAAAGATTAAAAAATTTGCAGGGTTTGATTTTTTATCAGTTCACTGTACCTTTTAAATAAAAGGTATATTTTCATTTATGGAATGACAAAAATTTCTAATTGTAAACCTTCCCTTTAATTGAGCAAATTCTAAAGAAATTACCAGGCAAGCATCTCGAAAATAAATCTATAAATAGAGCTGGGATATTTGAATCCTCGTGTTAATTTGATCCCGCTGAGCACTGTCTTAGACACACCTCATTAGGGTTGTTTCAACACGACTCCAAACCTACATCTAATACAGGGTGTTCCAGAGAATAAGAGCCTAAAACTAACCTACATCTAATACAGTATGTCCCGGAAATTAATAGCCTAAAATTTACTTCAACAAATACAGGGTGTCCTGGAGAATAAGAACCTAAAATTACCTACATCTAATACTGTATGTCCCGGAAAGTAATAGCCTAAAATTTACTTCAACAAATACACGGTGTCCTGGAGAATAAGAGTCTAAAACTAACACATCTAATACAGGGTGTCCCGGAGAATAAGAACCAAAAATTACCTACATCTAATACTGTATGTCCCGGAAAGTAATAGCCTAAAATTTACTTCAACAAATACACGGTGTCCTGGAGAATAAGAGTCTAAAACTATCCTACATCTAATACAGGGTGTCCTGAAGAATAAGAACCTAAAGCTAACTTATATCTAATACAGGGTGTCTCGGAGAATAAGAACCTAAAACTAACCTACATCTTTAATACAAGATGTTCTGGAATTTCGAACATGTCAAAATACATTTGTGCTGTAAAAAAATTGGTTCATGCATGGTGTTGAATCAAAAACGTAATACAAGTGTAGTTTTACCTTACATATTTGCCTTTACATCGTTAAATATGAAGTAGTAATCTCTGTTTATATCAAGAACAATTTGAATTGGGGAACTCGATAGAATCACGGGAGATCTTCTTAGCTTTAGAATTTATGTATGTTGCAGTTCTGACCAAACCTCTAGTATTTACTTTATAAGGAATTTATAGGATTCAGGTTCAGGTAGATTTATAATTCGGTGATGGTGATGGACCAAACCTCTGTAGACATACAGAAACAATCTCAAGAACTGACGAGGGTCAACTCAGACCGAAATATATTTTCAATAAATGTGGAACTAACATCACATTTTTTACTCTAAAGAGGTTTGGTCCATCACCATTCACCGAATTTTAATTCTTACCTTTCTTTAAAAGTTTTTAAAGTCAAAAGTTGAGTAGGTTGACTTTTACAAGGGAAACTTAGTTTCCAGGCTAGGGTAGGTACTTATTGCACTACAATTCAAAGATGTACAGAAGTACCTATAAAACCTTGTAATGGGAATATATCTGTAAATATATCACTCGTGTTCTAATTTTAAACTAGACAATTCTATTAATTTTACTACAGTGATAACCAGAAAACTCTGGAAGAGGAAACTCAAGTTATGCCTTTAAATAGTGCATGAACTTGAGGCACAGCAATTGTGCAGTGGAAACAGACTCGTTTTACTTCATAAGGGGTTTAATAACTTTCTAGTAAAGTTATTTGCTTTGAAACAACATTAAATGCACTTCAAAAATATTTTAGTGTCGTCCTCGTATTCCATAGTTTTCTGGTTATTACTGTAACTGTCTTTTGTAAACTATAACTGAATACTGACAAAACTTTGCTAAAAAATGCACACAATCTCGTCGTCCAAGTCCTTTTTTGGATCCCACTGTATTTTATGTAATAATTTCCCAAGAGGAGAGAACCCAGGTACTCAGGTGTAAATACTGAAATTCAAAGGAAATCAGAAAGACAGTGATATATCATTCTCAAGTATCGTTCAGTAAAAAAGAAAAAAAATTGTATGCAGGCTTTTTATGAAATATTACCTTTTTGAAACAACAAGCTTA